CCAGCCAGCCAACCTAACTCAGCCAGTCCTCCTGGGGCCGCCAATGCAGACACGACTGAGGACCTCATTGAGCCATCTCCTATCATTGGAAAAAATGCCAGAACAAAAGCCCAGAATGCAGAAATGACAGAAGGCCTCATTGAGCCATCCCCTGTCATTGGAAAAAGCCTCAGGAAAACAACCCAGGGACCTTCAAAACTAGGCCGGAATCAAACGGCAAATCAAGCTAAAAACAAACCTAGAAATGCCTCCTCTCTGCAGCCAGAGTTTAAAGATAAAGTAAACACCTATACAAAATGTCTTCCCAACAAGAAATAAAGATACTCCAGTGGAATTGTCATAGTCTAAGCAACAAGCTAAGTAACCTTAAACTGCACATTTACTCAAGCAAACCACATGTATATACTTTGAAGTCCTCTCTTTCATTGTAGATGATGTAGAGGTAGAATAAATGACATTTTCTGTGATTTTTACTTCTTTTTCCTTTATCGATATGATATTACCATATACATTAATTACCGTATTATTGATGCAATATTACAACATCCATGAACATGCCATAGAGCATTTACAACAACCTTGTCCACTGCAAGCTTCATATCAGCAGCTTTTTAGCATTTTTTCTGTATCTGTAAGCTTACAGGATGGCTTGTAATTTCACACCATTTTATTTGAGTTAAGTAAATTTACTATGAAAAAAAGATCATTAAAAACATACCTGAAACAAAAAAAAATGTTTTAGTGACAACCATCATATGTTTTGGAAAAATAAATCATAGTTCAGGTCAAATACTTTTCATTCTATGATGCCTGGTGCACAATTCTATATATGACATTCTATGCACAATTTTGTGATCAATGATGCACTAATTTTTTGATAAGTGAAATTTTTTTTGCTGAGTGAGGTAAATGTAATCAATATTCTTTGCTTTTAATCAATTTTTTCTTAACTGGAGCCTTTGCTAACTGAGGTTCTACTGTAAATGCGTTTTTGAGGGTGTCCTGAATAGCCTCGGGGGGTGTCCCAAGTAGCCCCGCCATGCAGAAATGCCTGCCATTTTTTTTTTTTTTGATTGAGGTATGTAAATTCTGCAAATAAAGTTTTCATGCTGACACTTGTCTGCCACTTTTTTTTAAGCAAAATTTTTTAATAGGGCAAATATTATTTTTACTACAGACCTTTGCAGAAGTAACTTTTCAAAATATCGTTTTTCACCATTTCTTTCAGGAATTTTTCAAAGCTAGTAACTGTAGTATTTTTAACTTCCTTTATACTACATAGATAGGAAAAATGTTGATGTTTATGCCACTATATTTAGTTTTGCAATATTCCAATTAGTTTTGCTACTAAAACAGTTTTTCGCCGTGTCAGAGGACTGTCCCGAGTTACCCCGCCCATCCCGAGTAGCCCCGGTTGACGGTAATCCCAGAAAGGGCAACACAAAGTACCTCAAGTCCTCATGGTCATGTGCTCCGCTGCCTGGCTTGTTGCTAATGCTAGATGACATGGAAATGAATCAACTGTCTGTTCTGGACTTAATGGTAACAAATTTTTGGCTAGAGCTGGCACAGAAACATTGGGTGACAAAACCCCAACACTTCAGTGGACGCAAACGACAGAAGAGCACAGAATCAGAAGAAGAACTAGAAAATTCAATGAATTTATTCAGCCCCTTAACAGGAATCAGTCCAAAACCTGTTGGACCATTCACAAATAATAGGTGCCTTAAAGCCTTTCTCTCAAATTTAACTTCTCAGTCAACTGGAAATCAAAACACAGTACTCGACAAGCAAACATCTTTGTATGCAAATAAAATTTCCCTAAACCCAGTCTTAGTTGCCAAAGAATTTAACAAAATGATTCAAGATTCTTTAGTTAAAGATGTGCGGATCAACAAAAGGCATAACATTGTGGCCTTGGAATTCAACCCCAATGAAGACGAGGCAAAAAAAACCTTACTTTCTACCATAAATTGTTGACAATGGCAAGTCCATTGCTATAGACCATCATCTAATCTAGAAAACACCTGCTCCAGTGTCATTGGTCCTGTTGGGCATGATGTTGACCTTGATGACCTTTTAAATATACAAAGACAAGCTTGTAAGATAGTCAGGATCTCCAGACTCCCAAAATTTTCTGGAGCATCAAAAGAAGACTCCTTAGTCCTCAAGCTGGACTTTGAAGGCAAACAAATAACGGAAAAAAAAACATTTTTGGTTTTATTTTGTATAGAATGAGAGATTACAACTGCCCCTGAAGGTTGTCTGCTCTGTGCCGGGAATCATTCTAAAGATGTATGCAAGTCAACAACATACAAGTGCAAAAACTGTGGAGGGCCACACATCGCAAGCCACTGAGACTGCCGATATAGTGTGCAAGCCAAGGCCATATATGCATTAACAAGAAGTGGAATGCCTTATGATTTAGCCCTAATGCAAACCAACTCAATACACCACAGCCTATATTCAGGAAGACCCCTCCTAAACAGTCCAAGTGGCCAAGCATCTCAACAACCATGTCATCAGCCAGCAATGCCTCAGAAAAGCCCTCTCTAGATCAATACCATTCAAACAGAAGTGCAAAAATCTCACAAATCCATCAAAGCAGTTTACCCTATCCAAGCACCATACCATCAGTAGAGAACACCAATAGCCAAGTGACCAAAGCACTTGCAACACAAGCCTCAAATCATAGTCCCACCAATATGGTTGCAGAAACGCCCTCAATGGAAGAGGCAATAGCCACCCTGACAACCGTAATCAGAAGTGAAATTCAGAAACTCAGCATCTCTATTTGCAAATTTCTGAAAGAAATTGTCCTAACAGATTTATCAAAAGAAAACAAAAAGGGAAGGAACTGCAAACCATCAGCACAATCAGGAAACGCTTTGGCAGTGGGGTTGCAGAAGCTCTGCTGGAGGAACTTCATGCTGAGTCTACTACTACAATTGAGGCAACCCTATCAGCTGTTTGTTTATCTACCTTTTCTGGCCCCTCTAACACTTGCATGGAAGAGAGTAAGAAAAATAATAGGGACCCTAAATTGAACCATCAAATAAGTGAACCTGGCTTTGTACTAGATGCACCTTGCCTCCAATGGAAGCCTCACATTGAGATGTTGGGAACATCATGCTTTCCAACCCTAAATCTTCTCAAATCCATATCCAATAGGCGTTAGGGTGCTGAACAAAGGGTCCTATTTTGTTGCTGCATTAGTATTAAAAGAAGCTCCTGGCAGTGCTGCCCAGGCAGGACTGGAGACATAGTATCTGGATACATATTTGAGGCACATTATAGGGCATGTTTCAGTTACTAACCTTTGGTAGTTGAAACTAATTAAAAATTGTACTGTAGTGATGATCACTATGTGGTTTAACTCAGGAAGGACAATAAATTATTTTAGTTAGACATTATGTTATTCAGTGTAGTCTTTTATTGCTTTGTCCTTCAACAGCTGCACAGCAGCTGTAGGAGGACAAATATATATGCTATGCCTGTGATATATTTTACTTGTATTTTTATTTTCTCTTATGCTATTTTATTTATTTTTCTTTCGTGCCCCAATATGCAAAAACATCCCATCTTGTGCTATGCTTTTCTATACTTTTTTGTCCAATTTTTTTGCTGATGTTCCAGGCTGTCAACTTGAATGCCTGAGCATCAACTAAACTCTTTACTATCAAGGTGCTAAATGGACCAGTTTCCAGAGCTCCTATAGGAAGTATCACTTATAGGTGTCTTTCATTTATAGGTGTACCTACTTCATTTATACGTGTACTTTATTTTATTTGATGTTTATTTGGTATGTAACACAAGAAAGAAAGAAACTATTTGGGCTCTCACTCTGGCCTCTTCCCTGCACTGCTGAGATAGGATAATGATTTTGCCAGTCCACAAGGGAGGAGTCGGAGTTCCAGCCTCCAGATATCTGATACCAAGACACAGTCAAAACTAGGGCTGAGCCTCAGCCAGCCTCTGAGGATGGTGATGATGATACTATCTTGTTTTTATGTTTATCAATTTTGTATGATCAATCTATTGTCATTTTCAATTTCAGCTTAATATAGTTCAATATTAGCATGTCATATTTTGGTGTTATGTATATACAAGCATATTCCTTAATTTTCTGCAAATGCTGCCATCATGCGCTTTAAAGGACTAGTAATCCTTATCTTGCTGCTCATTCAGGTTAGTAAATTTCTTAGAGATGCTATGCTCTTCAATACTAAGTTATCAGGTAATATAGCGTAATTAATTTGATTTTCAATAATCAAACGCTTATATGTATCATTGTCTCACTTTATCTGACATTAATTAGGTAATGGGTAAAATTTACTGCAAGAATTTGTATTTTTGTCACATTCATTCTTATTTGGCTTTTGCCCATTTTTCTAGATGTGCTAATGTTGAAAAAATCCAATTGAACTGCTGAAGTTCAAAATTTCAAGGAATGACTTATGTGGGGTACAATACTGTATTTGCATTCTAACTAAAATATATATATATATAAACAACTTTGGTGCCTTTGTATTCCAGAAAAAAGTGAGATTTTTCCAATTAAATATAGGTATTGAATATATACGAGATAATTTTGCCTTTTTGTTCAGAATACAAATACTAGCACAATTTTTTGCTTATCTATCTACAACTGGCCAACCTATTTAGCATTTTCTTTTCAAGATTTGCAACATTTTAATTTAAATTTTCTATTGGTATATTTGAGTGCTAACTTCCTTGAATAGCTAAGAACCTGTAGACCAATCTAAAAATTATTCTAAAGGTTTGGCCCAAATTTTCACTTCCAGCAATACTTGTCTGTTATATTTTTAAATCGCAAAAATTAGCTACAATTATGTTGATTTTAATGATCCTTCTCTCTAGGCTGGCTGCTTTAAACATGCAAATTTCTTCTCTAGTATCGTATGAATTTGCCTAAAGGTTTGTTATGTATTTACTGGGAATATTCCATGTGCTTATGGAGTCTTCCTCATCACCTCAAGATGAAGAAGTCAATCAAATCTTATATTGATGTTTTAGCTTAATTAGTACAATACCAGAGACTAAGATGCAGAGCAAGCCACATCCATTGGGTTGGCTATGGTGGTGCAGTGGTGAGAGACTCAGTCTCTTGCACCCGGCTCCCGGGTTCTCTGTCTCTCGCACCCAGCTCCCGGGTTCTCTGTCTCTCGCACCCAGCTCCCGGGTTCTCTGTCTCTCGCACCCAGAAGGATTAATAAATGCTCATTAATAACCTACTAAAAATCTGCTACTTTTGCCTTATCTAATGAATTAGTTTGGCTCTCTACAGATGGTTTGGTGCCGAAGTGTGTGTCAAGGAAGGCAGTAACGTCACGGCAAGCTCTGCAGACCGCTGTGTCTGCAACCCTGGCTGGGGTGGACGTCGCTGTGGTCTGCCCCAGTCTGTCCTCAGTCACAGCTGGATGACCGAGCCCAAGTTGGTAGCAAGTCTGCAGGTAAGAAAAAGACCCAGAAGAGTGATTGTTTTCATTAACAATTACTACTATGATGCCGGCATCTTGGAGCTCAACATAAGGATGCTTGGGGACTTGGTGGATGTGTATGTTGTCAGTGAAGAGGAGGTCTTGTACAGGCATAAAAATGAAAGTTTTGTATTCATGCTGGAAAATGGTTTTCTGAAAGATTTCCATGACAAGCTGGTGTTTGTTAACATCACCGAGCCATCGTTGCCTTCCATTGATAAACTTCACTTCACTGTTGTTGAAGGTCTTAAGCTAATTTCTGACCTGAGAGTGGATGATTTGTTCATATTCCTGACTCCTGAGCACATCCTATCACGTGATTTTGTTCTCTTCCTAAAGCTTTTCCACAATTACCCACAGCCAGTTAGATGTGGCTTCAACCAACATGTATATGGTCTACAATTAGTGTTGCCTAGTGGCAGTGAAAATATTAATTTATCAAGTGAGGCTAGTGAAATTAAGGTCGCTTCCAGCAATAGGCATCAGTTTGGATCTGTCCATATTTCTTTAGAAGGTGCTTCACATGTGCCAAATAGTTCTAAGAGACATAGACGTGATGCTTTCAATAATGCTCTCTTCAATGAACTTTATTCTAATCATACCCAGTTTGAACAAAACATAAGTGATGTGCCTAGTATATGTGCCGTGTCTGCCCTGGTCTTGAGCAACGTTTTTGAGAACAAAATGCAACGACTCCAGGAAGAAAGTTTGCTCCTCAAGAAAAATCACCTTGAATTTTTTGACTCGCTCAACTACCCTTTGTTTCCGTGGACGTATGAAAATGCGGGCTGGCGATGCCACTTGTGTCTCATGTCATCAAGTGATATATATGAGAAATTGAGAGTTATGCCAGATTATTTAGCCCCCTCATGGTTTGATGGCCAACCTTCAGTGCAGTCAAGAATGATTTTAATCATTGAAAAACTCAGAAGTAATGAAATGACCGAGTATCAAATTCAGGCTCAAAGAATCTCAATTCATGGATCGCAGTCTAGAATTATACCTAAGTATGTCTTGGAACATGAAGCTCAGTACTACCAAAAACTTTTCTTCCTGTGATTTTCCTGTGCTCACTCATTTGTGTTTTTCATCATGGTAAAGAAAAGGAAATTCAACAGCCAATCATGGTGGCCAAATAAATAGAAATTGGATTGTGCATAGTATAGCTAAGCGTAAACATATCTTCAAACTACCAGCAATATTGTGATATCTGGAGTATTTTTATACTCAGTAGCCTGTTTATATACATTCTATGGCTAACAATAAACATGTTTTCTATAAACATATGCCAAGTGAACTAATTGTTACTATATAATAATATACCTATATTTGAAAGAGCTAACATTGTACATTTTAGACCGACACACAACTTTGAGCCACAACATAAGTTTTCTGTTTGTTATGAACTTGCCCCTATTGCATGCTTGCCAATATGTAATTATAGTTAAGAAGAGTTATACCTCAAGTGCCTTAGAATTTTGTACAAGCTTAGGAAATGAAGATTTTTTTAGTATGTAAATTGGAGATTTTTTAGGGCAAGCCATCATCCTATGCATTTTCAGGTACCATACATTACAAAAAATAAATTGTTATATAGAAAATTCAAAAATAATTTTCAGTAATAACCTCCGTAGCTTCTCCTATAGAGCATTTATTTTATAAAAGGTGAATGCATGCATAGGAACTAACCTTGCAATAATTTTCTGTTTTGTTATGGGTCAAATGTTATGGCAAATATTGAAGACATACTTTATATGTCATTAAATCTTATTAGTTGGAATAAGAATGCTCAGTTGCAATTGAGAAATTTTAATGCATTGAATTATTCTGACAATATCGGGTAAACTGAGCTGCTGAGAGCTCCTTGAGAAAGTGTGAAAAAATATAACTCAGTAGGTACTCACTGCAGACAAAAACTTGAGGTCACGGACGTACGGACAGACAGACATGGCGAGCACAATAGTGCATTTTTTCCATAAATGAGAAAATGTGCTAAAAAGGAAACCCTATTTATTGCGTAGAAGCTGACAATCTCGTGGTTAATTTCATGTTATTTTGTCATGATCATTATCAAAATCATATTCATAAGAAATGATTATTTATCAAAAATTAGTTCTGTGAATTGACAAAATCTTGTTTAATGGGTAGCAAACAATTATTTAAAGCTAGTATAAAAATGGCAATTCAAATTTTATTTTTTCCTGAGATAGATAAAAATTTTTGAAAATCATTTAAATATGAAGATTATTTAAATATTCTAATATAACAGTCTTTTTAGATTGCTGCATGATACTTGTAGATGTAATAAAAGAAATGGGAAGTTACTTCAGCTTTTGTGTAAATTCATCACAATTAGAAATACACATAATACAGATCAAAATTGTTAGAAAAATGTATGTGTCGTTACCATGCTTTAGCTCTGAATAAATAATATGCATTTAAAAATTACCTACTTCTAAAGACAACACATCTAAAATATCCAGTGTTTTTGATGTTACACATGTACAATGAATTTCTAATCTTATTTTCAAATTAAAAAAAAAACAATTTTCAAATTTTTTTATATATAAAATTTTTTAAATTTTCACAATTATTTATTCTGTCAACTGACTCATGCATTGTCTCTGACTTTATGCAAGTGTGCAAAATTTCAAATTGATTGGACAGGTAGAAGAATTTCAAATATGGATTATAAAATTTGTAGCAGACAAAGTTATTTGTTTACGTTTTTTTTTTCATTATTAAAAAAATATATTTTAATTTCCAAAATTATTCTGTCAATTGGTTCATGCACATAGATTGTCTCCAACTTTACGCAAGTGTGCAAAATTTCAGATTGATTGGATGGGTAGAAGTGTGTTAAATATAAATCATGGTATAAGATTTGTAGCAGACAGAGAGAAGTGAAGTTAAAAACACAGCAGATATGCACATTTGACATGCTGAATTGTATGCAGATTTGACATGCTGAATTGTATGCAGATTTACATGTATATTTTTTATGTATATCTTTTTGTTAAGCTTCTTGAACATGAATTGAATTTGTTGTAATGCATTTATCACATTTATTGTTTATTATTTACTCAACTTGAAATGAGTTTGTATTTATTCAATAACTTGGATCTGAACTGATATATTTTTTCTGTGCAAGTAATTGAGAATCTCAATTGAACAGAAAGCTTTGTAATGATGAGTCTAGTTATAGAATAGGTATTTTTTATAGCATATCATCTAATTCTGTCTAGAGTTCATTGAATGATGCAATATTTTATTATAAAATATTTATTGTTTAGCTTACTGGAATGAAATTCTTATATTCAATAATTTTCATTAATATATGTATTTCTTTGTGCACATTAACCTTTATATTTTACATATTTTTCTATGTGATCTGCTAGTGCTTTGATAGTTTGCAATTAGTGAATTTATTGCTTTATATTCCTAGGTTTGTGCTAATTTTGAATAATATGAACAAAATAGACTCATGGTGCTCATTCTTTGAGTTTCATGCATTCGTTTGGTTATTGAGCTTCTGATGAAAAAGTAAATATTGTTGTTTTAAATATATGGCATTTTGTTATTCCCTACTTGGACTTTGCTGATTAAAATATCTTCATATGGCCTTATATAATATTAAATTTTGTTGAATCCAAATATTCAATAAATGGCTGATATTACAAATATTCAATACTATGGCTGGTGGCCAAATTGACCTTTTTTAATTTAATTGGTCTGAATTTTGAATGTTTTTTTAATTTTGTTCAGCTGCATGCTGACTATTCAGTATCAATTCATATAGGCAGGAAAGAAGCAGTGTTAGCTGAACCCACCTTCATAGAATGAATAATTGAACATCAATAAAAGATAAAGCACCCTGGGCAAGACATTGCATATTGAGATTTGTATGTAAGAGACCAATCGAAACCTCAATCCTTCCCACATACCTACTTATTACAAACCCACATACTAACCTATGTACAAACCTACATACCTACCTACATACCTACTTACCCACGTACTTACAAACCCATATACCAACCTATGTACAAACCTACATACCTACTTACCCACGTACTTACAAACCCTCATACTAACCTATGTTAAAATTTACTGATCTAACCAATCTACCTACTTACCTACCTACCTACATATCTAGGACCTACTTACAAACCCACATACCAACCTATGTACAAACCTACATACCTACCTACAAACCTACTTACCCACGTACTTACAAACCCTCACACTAACCTATGTTAAAAACTACTGATCTAACCAATCTACCTACTTACCTACCTACCTACATATCTAGTACCTACTTACAAACCCACATACCAACCTACGTACAAAACCATCAATTCATCTCAACCCTCACCTCAGGCCCCATTGACCTGGTGATGTCCACATTGGCATCACTAATGTGTACATGTTTTTTAAATAACGTTAAATGTACCACATCTTCTGATGTTATTTTTTATGATTACTAAATAAAAGATTTCTTGATGAAATGCAACCTGCAGGGAGTAGAAGCTGCCTGTGATAACATGTTGTCTAAAATTTGCATACTTTTACTATCAAATATTTTATTTGAGACTGCAGAATAATTTATTTAAGAAACTGTTGAAATAGTATTATTGTTATAACTTTCACTATTATGTGTTTATAATTTCTATTGAGATTTACTGGGCATTTTACTTGCAGCTTTTACAAGGGAGTTTACGTTCCCTCAGTTTCCCCAAGTTGAAGTTTCAATCTACTGAGAAAAATGAATGGGTTATATTGTATAAATAGTGAAACCCTGTCTGCCAGTAGCACTAATGATACACCCTTATGCCGTCTCAAACTGTGTTAGGATGACCCACACAAGTGCAAGAAGTGCATTGCTATTTGGACAAAGTCTAATCATTTCTCTGAGTATCAACTACATTCATGTGGGTGAAATTTGCCAAGTGTAATCAGGCAGGATTTTTGTTCTTTGTTTCCATATTATCTATAATTGATTTTTTGAATTCATCTTTTGATATCTTTGTGGGTAAAATAAAAAATTTGTTTAGTAAGCAAGAAAATTATAGGTTATTTTGGTAAATTTCTGTTATTTGAAAGCATTTACAAATACAAAATTAATATAAGTAACCAATAACTCTTGAGTATTAATAAAACTATAAAACACATGTCATTATTTAAAGAGGTGACACATTCCAGTTGAATATTTATCAAAAAAACTGAATTTAATTCTAAACCTTATCCTCCTGGCCACCTTAATTAGGTCACAGGGTTGTTGTAGTTGCCCTCACTGCTGTAGAGGGGAGGTTGTAGGTACCCTCACTGCTGTAGAGGGGAGGTTGTAGGTGCCCTCACTGCTGTAGAGGGGAGGTTGTAGGTACCCTCACTGCTGTAGAGGGGAGGTTGTAGGTGCCCTCACTGCTGTAGAAGGGAACTTGTGGACACCCTCATGCCATTATTGTAGCGGAGGACATTCTTCTCACCCCAGCAGGTATGGAGTTGTCCGATGTTATCAAAGTTGCTCGCTGTGAGCGCGTGATGCTCCACCAGCCTCACTGCCTCAAGGCCGAGGCAACGCTGGCCATCACATCACATCACCTCATCCTGGCCCCCCTGCACGGGGTCGAACTATGGGTAAATGCTGATAATGTTGCATATTGCATTTATATACCTGTTGTATTCAAAATTGTTTTGTTATATTTCTGTTAACAATGTTTATTGATTAATCTATTCAATATTTTGTGGTAACGTAACCTTTAACCTTTTATTACTGTACTCAGTCCCTTTAGTGATTTGTTTACTCAAGCAACATGATACTTGTTCATAGTTCTATTTTCTTAATATTCTTATAGTATACTAAAATTATAATAACTAATAAAATATTATAACCACTTGAATATTTTAAATAATATAATATTGAAGTATAACATAATACTTTAGGTGCTCCACAGCTACCTATACCCATGTTGCTGTATTTCTCTTCTGGTATAAAAAAACTACCAACTATTTTTTATCATTAAAATAAAATTATAATAAAAATTTGGTCTATAATAAAATGTATCTAAGATGAAGCATAATGTAACATCAGGTGCTGCACAGCAACGTAGACCATGTGGCAATATTCTTGTTTGAGAATATATATAAAATGGTCAATATTTATCATTCAATTGAAATTTTTAAAACTTTTATATATTGTAAAATGTATCAAATATTAAAGAATAATATATTACATCAGGTGCTGCATAGCAATGTAGACCTTAGTGCAAATTCTTGTTTGAGTATAAAATTTTAAAATAATTTTTTGTACCTATTCAATTGAAATCTTTAAAAAATTTTAGATTGTAGAATGTATAGAATATTAAAGTATAATATATTACTTTAGGTGCTGCATAGCAATGTAGACCTTGGCGCAATATTCTATTGACCAATAAAATGGTCAATATTTTTTCTCATTCAATTGAAATTTCAAAGATTTTATATGTTGTAAAATGTGTCAAATATTAAAGTATAATAAACTATTCATTTCAATTTATTCTTGGAACTATAGGTAATTGCAGCTAGTATTGCATATATATACATGTTGTTTTCAATTTATTCTTTTAACTATTTATATTTAATTGATATTGCATATATATATACCTGTTGTTTTCAATTTATTCTTTTAACAATTTATATTAAATTGATATTGCATATATGATATATATACCTGTTGTTTTCAATTTATTCTTGGAACTATGGGTAATTGCAGCTAATGCATATATATATATACCTGTTGTTTTCAAAATTTTTTAAATTCTTTCAACAATTTATATTTAATTGATAATTCATTTAATATGTTGTGGTAACCTTGAATAACTCAGTCCCATTAGTGGTTTGTTAACTCTATTAATGTGATATTTGTTCATGGTTTTATTTTCTTATAAGATACATTCATATAATCAAGTACCCTTATTATAAGATACATACATTAAGATGCATCAAATATTAAAGTATAATATATTACATCAGGTGCTGAGTATAAATCATTCTTGCTTGAGTATAAAATTTTTAAATATTTTATATTAGTCAATTGAAATGATAAAACTTTTGTATATTGTAAAATGTATCGAATATTGAAGTATAATATATTACTTCAGGTGCTGCACAGCAATGCAGACCTTGGTGCAATATTCTTGTTTGAGTATAAATTTTTTTTTACATTTTTTATCATTCAATTGAAATGATAAAACTTTTGTATATTGTAAAATGTATCGAATATTGAAGTATAATATATTGCTTCAGGTGCTGCACAGCAATGCAGACCTTGGTGCAATATTCTTGTTTGAGTATAAATTTTTTTTATATTTTTTATCATTCAATTGAAATTATAAAACTTTTGTGTATTGGAAAATCAATTGAATATTAAAGTATAATATATTGCTTTAGGTGCTGCATAGCAATGTAGACCTTGGTGCAATATTCTTGTTTGAGTATAATAAAATGGTCAATATTTTTTCTCATTCAGTTGAAATTTTAAAGATTTTATATGTTGTAAAATGTGTCAAATATTAAAGTATAATAAACTATTCAGGTGCTGCACAGCAATGTAGACCATGTAGACAGACGCAGCCAGGGGGCCACAGGCGGCTCTCTGTTCCTGCTCTGCAAAGACCTGCGCCGTCTGCAGCTGGACATCCTCGGCACCGACCTCTTCACTAAAGTTGCTGACACTCTTGAGGACCTCTCGAGAGTGGGTGAGTTATGGGGGTCATAGGGGTCATGTGACGATGGCCTCGGCAGGGTCCTCTTCACTAAAGTTGCTGACACTCTTGAGGACCTCTCGAGAGTGGGTGAGTTATGGGGGTCATGTGGGTCATGGGGGTCATGTGGGTCATGGGGGTCATGTGGGTCCTCTTCACTAAAGTTGCTGACACTCTTGAGGACCTCTCGAGAGTGGGTGAGTTATGGGGGTCATGTGGGTCATGTGAGTCATGGGGGTCATGTGGGTCATGTGGGTCCTCTTCACTAAAGTTGCTGACACTCTTGAGGACCTCTCGAGAGTTGGTGAGTTATGTGGGTCATGTGGGTCATGTGAGTCATGGGGGTCATGTGGGTCATGTGGGTCCTCTTCACTAAAGTTGCTGACACTCTTGAGGACCTCTCGAGAGTGGGTGAGTTATGGGGGTCATGTGGGTCATGGGGGTCATGTGAGTTATGGGGGTCATACGGGTGAGTCATGTGAACCATGTGAACCATGTGAATCATGTGGATCATGTGACTAATGTGGGTGAGTCATGCGACTTGATTTAGTGCATGAATATATAAATAACATATAATATTTAAGTATCATGCACTCAATAGGTGACTGGACTCAATATTATTTTCTAACACAAATGGCAAGAAAATGTCCTTTTCAAATCATATATATTATATTTATTACAAACAGTATCACGAAAATATTTTACAACATTGTTGCCTTCTAAAATTTTTTTTTTCAAAATTGAGTTGAAATATGCATTAAAATTGATTTAATCATAGGACTCATACTAATAAATGCACGCAGACGAACCGCTGCTGCAGTACCCATTCTTCTACGAGCCGCTGCCACCACACAAAAATATTGTACAACATTGTTGCATTTTGAAAAAAAATATCAAAATTTACTTTCATTATGCTTTAAAATTGAATCAATCATAAGACTCATGCTAATAAATACCCCCAGACGAACTGCAGCTGCAATATCCATTCTTCTACGAGCCGCTGCCGCCGCCGCTGGAGGACGGTTGGGCGGCCTTCGCTCCTGAGACAGAACTCAACCGCATGCTCCTACCCGGCGACACCTGGCGCATATCTCACCTCAATGCCGGCTACAAGGTGCGGTTATGTGCTTATGGCACGTGCTTAGGGCAGAAATTAAATGAAATACAGTTCTGTCATGTAATATACCATTGTAATATACGTACCATTGTCACATACCGTACGTACCATTGTTATATATGTACCATTAATATAAATCATTTCATATACCTCTGAGTAAATTAATTTTTGTCACAAGGGTCATGTTAAATGGATTATTTGTTATGCTGGCCATGTGACATGTGTTATACGACGTAAGTTATGGGACATGTAGCATGTGTCATGTGACATGTGACACAAGTCATGTGACATAAGTTATGTGACATATGTTTTCTGACATGTGTTATGTGACAGTCATGTGACATAAATGATGTGACATGTGTCATGTGACACAAGTTATGTGACACAAGTCACGTGGTCGCAGGTGTGCCGCAGCTACCCGCAGCTGCTGCTGGTGCCGCGCGCCATGGAGGACGAGGAGCTGGTGGCCGCCGCCCTCCACCGCCAGGACCACCGCCTCCCCGTCATGGCCTTCCGCCACCTCCCCACGGGGGTGAGTGGCCTACCGCCACCTCCCCACGGGGGTGAGTGGCCTTCCGCCACCTCCCCACGGGGGTGAGTGAACGGGGGTGAGTGGCCTACCGCCACCTCCCCACGGGGGTGAGTGGCCTACCGCCACGTCCCCACGGTGGTGAGTGGCCTCCCGCCACCTCCCCACGGGGGTGAGTGGCCTCCCGCCACCTCCCCACGGGGGTGAGTGGCCTGCCGCCACCTCCCAACGGGGGTGAGTGGCCTACCGCCACCTCCCCACGGGGGTGATGTCAGAAGACTGGGAGCAGATGTCTAACAAACATTTACATTATTTAAAAATAATAAAATTAATAGGTATTATTTTTATTAATAATTAAAAATATTAATACTAAAATTCTGGTGCAGTGATGTCTGATCACCAGGATGGTGGCAACAATTGATATGCAGTTCATTAATGATTATATTATTAAAACCTAATTATTCAGAATAAAGGACTTTTTTCTTGCCTTGTTTGTTTGCAGTTATCAGGTATTGAATATTTAATGTTAAGTACAGTTGGTGTGAAAAGTATCCAACACAAAGGAAGAACTTTGTTATTTTGTATCTTAACTTTTACGAAATTGCAATCATCAAGTCAACATTTGATGATATTGTTGATTTGATATATATTTGAATATCTCATGTACATTTACATTAGAATTGTATTGCTTTGTGTTATTTTCTTTGACAAGCATTAGGTCAACATTTGATGATATTGTTGTTTTTATACGACATTTGTATTTCTTATGTACATTTACATTAGAATAGTTTTTTGTGTGCTTTTTTTGTCGGATAAGTTTTAATTAAACAATTTTTTCATTTTTGTCAGATACTTTTTGCACCCACGGTAAACACTTACCCCGGTATTGAATATCATCATCATTAATAACTAACTGTTTACAGGCAGTGTTAGTGCGGAGCAGTCAGGCCATCAGCAGCTATAACAACAGCAGCAGCAGCAGTGCAGCAGCTGCAGCAGCAGCTGTAAAGCGCAGCAAGGAAGACGAGAAGTTGCTGGCAGCCAAGGTATTCACCACTCAGCCAAGGTATTCACCACTCAGCCAAGGTATTCACCACTCAGCCAATCTTGGTATGTTAATAGATTCTGCTAGAGTTCATTTCTAAACTTAGTTTCTAGAGTTAATTTCTAGACTTTATTTCTAGAGTTCTCTCTCCTTAGCAGTGAGTATTCAAAATAGCTGTTGATTTCACAAATTATTTTTTCCGGAATCAGATAAAATGATTGCCACGTTAGTATCAGTCAATTGAACAGAACCAAATTATAATTTAGTTACAAGTCGTACTTTATAAACCGTCATCTAAAAAATTCCCTGTAATTGAAAGTCCTTTAAAGTACTGTTTTTTTAATATTTTAAGTTGTAGCTGCTACTGATTTTGGTTTCTTATGGCATTATTTCATCAAATTGTAATGTGGTTGCGATGTAGGTACATGTTTTACCTCCATATTTTTTTCTTATTAAACTCAATTCTTATTAAACCTATTGAGATTCTCACATGCAATATAATGAAATATGATATAAAATTCAACTTTTGACTTACTAGGCAGCACCAATAATAATGATAGTGCATTTTCATGCTTGCTCTAGTATATTCCTTACACAGGGTGAACTAGAATTAAGTGACCCTTTTAATTTGTTAATAAATAAAAAACTAAGAACGTTATGAAGTTGAAACTTGTTTCATTTAAAAGAAGAACATTTTTATGGTAATATTGATTAAAAAGGTCAGTTAATTCTGGTTCACCCTGTATATTAAATTAGGATTAATTAATAAATAAATAATAAAATTAATTAGTGTCACATACACAGCATATGTTAGTTTATGGTGTTTTACCCACGTAACTTATTTTCAGGTCTATGAGTCCAAGCTTTTAATTATTTTAGTATTAAATAATTTCCTATGTAGATCTTAGCTTTTCATTTAACCGGATAAAACGTATTAGCTTTTCAGTTAAAGTGATAATCGTAAATTGAAGGATAAAATGGCCGCACGGTAATTGTTGAAATTAGAAGCTTACAAATTGCTCATTGCACCATCTGTCTGAACTAGTGTAATTAAAGGTGTTTAACTAGTGTAATTAAAGATGTTTAACTAGTGTAATAAAAGTTGTTTAACTAGTGTTATAATAGGCGTTTAACTAGTGTAATAAAAGTTGTTTAACTAGTCGAATAAATAACCTATTGCTGAGTCTGTAGCACCGCTAGCAGACCTTATAGTAGCAGACAACATTGGCGTGCACTCAAAAATTATAATAGTATCATCTTGTCCAAATATTGACTAATTACCTGCACGTAGCACTGACACGTAGCCCTTTTGCTGTACCAAAGTGACCGACACTGTAGAGAAGCAAGTAACTCATTATTTAGACAAGATGTCTTCATTTATATGAGTGTAGCAGCTGCCCTGTAGAGAAGCAAGTAACTCATTATTTAGACAAGATGTCTTCATTTATATGAGTGTAGCAGCTGCCCTGTAGTAACATTTTGTTCTTGTGTCCCTCAGAGTCTGGCTCAGAGTGCTAAAATACAGGTATAGATTTATCTTATATCTGCTTTATTTATTTATTGTTTATATCTTATATCTTGCTTTATTTATTTTTTATTTATATGTTATAGCTTGCTTTCTTTATTTTTTATTTATATCTTATATGTTACTTTATTTATATATTTTATATGTGTTATCATCTTGCTTTATTTATATATTCTTTATATGTTACCATCTTACTTTATTTATATATTATTTATGTGTTATATGCTGCTTTATTTATTTATTATTTATCTATATAATTTATGTTTATTATTTATTATACGTTTTATGCTTTAATTTTTTAATTTGTTCTCGGAAAAATGAATGGGTCTTATTGTCTAAACTCTAAAGAGTGACACACTTTCACCCTTTTACCTGGGGGCGAAGTGGGTCATATAAAAATAGTCATATGTCAGAGACAAAAGAACAAAAAAAAAAAAAAGACTTCCCAGACACAAGGCAGAAAGTGCATCACTATTTGGACAAGTCTTGCTCATTTCTCTGAGTGTATATATGCTTTGCAGCTTAGTGTATATAATTTTTTTCAGTTATATGGCTTTTATTACCGCCTAAAATTTTAATTCAATGCTTAAATTAATTTTTTGTTGCACATATCAAAGATTATTTTGTTTCTTGATCTTTTTTTATAATTTATTTGAGAAATTGTTATTGTTAATTGCATACTTTTTTTCGTCTTAATGAATTTGTATCAATGGAAATGCAGAATTTATTCTACAATTTTTTAAAAAGTTTCTGCTTCATTTAAAATTATTTTTTGTTTGCACCAACAGTTACGTGCTTTAATTATTGTTGAGATTTTATTTCTTCTTTTATATATTATAATATTTATTTTATTTAGAAATAATTCAACCAATTATTATTGTTGTTCTCTCTCAATTATTGTATAAAAACAATGTTATTCTCATGGCTTCTTTTGAAAAAAATAAGATCTGAAAGTAAATTACAAATTGAATCTGTCTGTAAAATTTTTATGTAGAATTTTTTTTAATTGTTATTGGATTTAATAAATTAAGTTCTTATTGTTGAATTTCACTCTAAATTCTCATTGTTAAATGTTTTTAACAAATTTTGAACATAAAATTTTGTCAACGCAATTTTTATTTTTAAAATAATATATGTGTTGAACAATATTGTGTTTACTAACGTGCTCATCAATGATAATGCTTTATCTTTCTCAGTCAAGCAAGATTTTAACTACCTAATATTTAGTGCCTGCTGTTGCTTTTTAAATCTATGTTTGTTATGTAACTAAAACAGAAATTTAAATTTTTTATTAAGATTTAGAGGCCGTGGAATTACTCATGACAAATAATTTTTCTCTCAGGCTTGACCGAAGTCATCTTCAAATTTTTAATATGGTTGAAATCTAGAACTGAAGTTTTGATATTTAAAATCCTTAATAAAATCTAGAACTGAATTCTTAATATCTAAAATCATTAATGAAATTTAAAGCTGAATTCTTAACATTTAAAATCATTAATAAAATCTAGAACTGAATTCGTAATATCTAAAGTCCTTGATAAAATCTAGAACTGAATTCTTAATATCTAAAATCTTTAATAAAATCTAGAACTGAAGTCTTAATATCTAAAATCATTAATAAAATCTAGAACTGAATTCTTAATATCTAAAATCCTTAATAAAATCTAGAAGTGAAGTCTTAATATCTAAATTCAACAATTAAATCTAGAACTGAATTCTTATAATCTAAAATCATTAATTAAATTTAGAGCTGAATTCTTAACATCTAAAATCCTTAATAAAATCTAGAACTGAATTCTTAATATCTAAAATCAGTAATAAAATTTAGAACTGAATTCCTAATAATCTAAAATCATTAATGAAAGCCATCTGTCAATAGGAGTCTTTTTGCCACTGCTCGGAAACTCAACAGATTTGATTTAACTGCAGTTATCATTTTGTCATTTAAAATTAATTGAATTAATTATTCAAGTAATTAATGCTATATATTGGTGGATTATAAATTTGGCTGAATAATATTGGTATTCTTGATATGGCAGTTGTTAGGATTTCCTTTGCTTATGAACCGAAGTCATCTTCAAATTTTTAATATGGTTGAAATCTAGAACTGAAGTTTTGATATCGAAAATCCTTAATAAAATCTAGAAGTGAAGTCTTAATATCTAAAATCCTGAATAAAATCTAGAAGTGAAGTCTTATTATCTGAAATCATTAATAAAATCTAGAAGTGAAGTCTTATTATCTGAAATCATTAATAAAATCTAGAAGTGAAGTCTTAATATCTAAAAACATGAATAAAATCTAGAACTGAATTCTTAACATTTAAAATCATTAATAAAATTTAGAACTGAATTCTTAAATATCTGAAATCCTTAATAAAATATAGAACTAAAGTCTTAATATCTAAAAACATGAATAAAATCTAGAACTGAATTCCTAATATCTAAAATCATTAATAAAATCTAGAACTGAATTCTTAATATCTAAAAACATGAATAAAATCTAGAACTGAATTCTTAATATCTAAAAACATGAATAAAATCTAGAACTGAATTCCTAATATCTAAAAACATGAATAAAATCTAGAACTGAATTCCTAATATCTAAAAACATGAATAAAATCCTTCTGTCAATAGGAGTCTTTTTTGCCACTGCTCGGAAACTCAACAGATTTGATTTAACTGCAGTTATCATTTTGTCATTTAAAATTAATTTAATTAATTATTCAAGTAATTAATGTTATATATTGGTGGATTATAAATTTGGCTGAATAATATTGGTATTCTTGATATGGCAGTTGTTAGGATTTCCTTTGCTTATGTTTTATTTATTTATGTATTTATTTAAAAATAAATAAATAAGTAATACATAAATTGTGTGGAGATCACCTTTGCCTAATTAATATTCAGATTAGGTGATAATTAATATTATAATGAGATGATAATCAATAAAATGTCAATAAATGTTTGGATTGTAGTACAATTAAATGTGGGGGAGCTGTATTATGATTATTAATTAACATATTGCTGAAGTTGTTATACTGTAGGCTGTAACATATATTATTAATATTCTAATTAAGTAATGGTATATGACAGCTGCGTGGGGGAGGTGGGGGAGGAGTACAGGAGGGGGAGCTGCATTACCCCAACTGGCGACGGGTGCACAAGCCCATAGACCGCCGCCACACCCTGCTGGAGTCCCTGGCCAAGCTCATGGATGGTGGGTGGTGGTGGTGTNATACTTTAAAAAAAAGTTAAGAGATCGTAAGTTCATCAGCCAATCATTGACGACCTTTCAAGCAAAATCCACCAATCATAGACAAGAAAATAGAGCGTAAGTACTTACGTTCACTTAGCGAGTTTTGAAAGCATGGCCCCAGTGCTGTAGATTGTGAAATCGTCAGCATAGGAGATGATCTTGATGTTGGGTGGTGGTTGGGGTGCCTTGGAGACATAGTAATTGAAGAGGGCAGGAGACAGGACGGAGCCTTGTGGAACACCTGTGTGGATTAATCGGTGTTTAGAGTTTTGATGGCGGAATTCCGTAGAGGCAGAACAGCCGTGTAGGTAGTTGGAGTTCCAGCGTGTGAGAGATCCGGGTAGTGGGGAGGCGAGAAGGTCGTCGATCAGTATCCGGTGGTTGACGGTATCGAAGGCCTTAGTGAGGTCGGTAAAATTTAGCGTCGTTGTCCGGTTTGCCGGGTTTGAGCAGCGGTATGACTTTGGCGGATTTGTAAATGTCGGGAATTCGGCATGTTCGGAGGGACTCGTTGAAAAGGCGTGTCAGGTAAGTAATTCTGAGTGGTCCAAGATATTTGAGGTGAAAGATGGTTAGTTTGTCTGGTCCAGTGATTTTGGAGGGACGGGATTGTTTGATTGCGTTGGCCACTTGTGCCGATGAGAAGAAGGGACTGTTCGATAGGTCGAGGTTCTTTGACTTCCGGGTTGTGATTTAATTGAGCTTATTTGAGTGACAGCCGTGGAGAGACTGTTGAAGCGATCAGCAAGCTTTTTGGTGTTATTGATGGGCCTCTCATTGAAGTTGATGGCGATATTGGGGTAATTTTTAGGTTTGCCGGCCTGGGCCTTCATTGTTGGCCAGAGGCTGTTCACGTTGGTATGGCGGTTGAAGGTAGAAAGGTATTGTTTCCAGCGGGCTTTTTTGTTGTCGTTGCTGAGCTGGTGGATACGGGCAGTAAAGAATGCTACATCGGCGGCACGGAGGATGTCTCGCTGTCGGGTGAGGTTGATGATGTTTTTGGAGAGGCCCGGTTTAGAACAGATGTGACGGCCTGAAGGAATGTTACGGTTGCTTGCGCTGATTAAAATTTTACGAAATTGATGTTCGGCGGTAGACAAGTTGGCAGGGAAGACTGAGTTTTCGAAGGCGGCCTCAGTGTCGGCACTCGGCAGTGTATTTTTCCCAGTCGGCTTTGGCAAAGTTCGTGAAGGTGATGGTGATTGTGAAGGCAGTGTAATGATAATTGGCAGGTGGTCGCATGACAGAGTGGTCATGGTGGTCCAATCCATGTGGGTGATCAGGGTATCTGAAGCGATTGAAAGGTCTGGCGAGGAGGGTTGTCCTGCGGTTGGAAGCCGGGTTGGTGTGTCCGAATTCAGCGTCCCGTGATCAGAACTGCCGATCTCATCCGCCAGTTCTTCTCCACGTGTGTCCTGGATGCGCGAGTGCCAGAGAGGGTCGTGTGCGTTCAGGTCGCCAGGTATCAATGATGCCACCACCAATGGTGGTGGCGGTGGTAGTGGTGGTGGTGGTGGTGGTGGGTGGACTATGGGTGGTGGTGGGTGGACTGTGGTGATGGTGGGTGGTGGTGGTGCTTGGACTGTGGGTGGCGGCGGGTAGAGGGTTTTTTTTAACTGGAAGATTATTTTGCTTGTTTCTGTATTTTAATTTTGCCTAATACCTCGCCGAGATCATGAACGATGGGTGGATGGTGCTGGCGATGTTAATTGAATAATCCTTAATGGGTTACAATGACCTTATTTTCCTTAATAATAGTAATCTGCAGTAGAGTTTTTTCGTAAAAATTTATTATTACTTTGATTATTTGTTAATGGTTTGCAGGCGTAAACGACACGGGCAGTTCCCAGGACAAGTGGCTGAGCCGCGTCGAGGCGAGCGGCTGGATGGCCAACATCCGGGACACTCTGGACTGTGCCTGCCTTGTGGCACAGTGCCTGCATCAGGTGTGTTGTGGCACAGTGCCTGCATCAGGTGTGTTGTGGCACAGTGCCTGCATCAGGTGTGTTGTGGCACAGTGCCTGCATCAGGTGTGTTGTGGCACAGTGCCTGCATCANGGCTCGAGATCGAGCGTGGCTAAGGTGAAGAGTGGAGTACCACAGGGAACGGTACTCGGCCCAATCCTCTTCCTCATTCACATCGCCGACATAGATGCGGCTGTGAACCACGCCATTACATCGTCATTCGCGGACGACACTAGGATACTAATGACCATAACGGACAGGACGGACTGCGAGAGGTTGCAAGAAGACCTCTCTGCAATATATGACTGGGCCCTAGTGAACAACATGCAGTTCAACGGGACCAAGTTCCGTTGGATCTAAGAGAGGGGGAGTTCACCCTGGAGACCTTCAAGAGACGACTGGACGTGTTCCTGAGCCCAATCCTAGATCGACCTCCCCTGCAACACTACCAGCGGCGAGAAGCAAGCAACAGCATCGTGCATCAGGTGGCCCAAATGAGGGCGGATGAACGATAATCAGAGGCGGTGATCCATCGTGGCCTGGGACTGCTATGTCCCAAACAAGTACCAAGATTACCAAGTACCAAGATTACCATAACTGTGTCGTAGTATTCAAATTAAATTATAAATGACTCTCCTTCTTTTAAATATTGCATAATAATGAGCATGATGTCGCCAGGAGGGCGCTAGTGTGCTGGTTATACATTTAATGTTAGAAGACGTCATGAATACAATAGGGAAATTACTATAAGAAATTAAATTACATTATAAATCACTGGCGTTATTTTAAACATAGAATAATAATGAGCCTGATGTGGGCAGGAGGGCGCTAGTGTGCTGGTGCACGACACGGTGGGCGTGGACGCCGCCCTGCAGGTGTCAGCGCTGGCGCAGGTCATCCTCAACCATGTGTTGTGGCACAGTGCCTGCATCAGGTGTGTTGTGGCACAGTGCCTGCATCAGGTGTGTTGTGTGGCACAGTGCCTGCATCAGGTGTGTTGTGTGGCACAGTGCCTGCATCAGGTGTGTCTGTATTTTATATATTAAATAAAAATTTTATGTAATTTGTTAATTTAATCATTAAATATAAATGTGCATGATAACTCTAGGTAGGCGCTAGTGTGCTGGTTATACATTCAATGTTAGAAGACGTCATGAATACAATAGGGAAATGACTGTAAGTATTCACATTATATTATAAATGACTGGTATTGTTTAAAAGATAGAATAATAATGAGCATGATGTGGGCAGGAGGGCGCGAGTGTGCTAGTTAAACATTTAATGGTAAAAGGCATTTTGAATACAATATGGAAATGACTATAAGTATTCACATTACATTATAAATGACTAGAATTGTAATAAAATATTGAATAATAACGTGCACAATGTGGGCAGGGGGGCGCGAGTGTGCTGGTTATACATTCAATGGTAAAAGGCATCTTGAATACAATAGGGAAATTAGCATAAGTATTCACAATACATTATAAATGACTAGTATTGTAATAAAATATTGAATAATAACGTGCACAATGTGGGCAGGAGGGCGCTAGTGTGCTGGTGCACGACACGGTGGGCGTGGACGCCGCCCTGCAGGTGTCAGCGCTGGCGCAGGTCATCCTCAACCAGGACTGTCGCACCGTCAGGGGGTGGGTTGTGAAAGTGGGTCAGAGTGTGGGTCATGGAGGTGGGTGTGGGGTCAGGGGTGGGTCAGAGAGTGGGTTTTGGGGTCAGAAAGGCAGTCAGGGAGTGGGTCATGAAAATGGGGCAGGGGGTGGGTATGGGGTGAGGGTGGGTGTGGGGTGAGGGGGTGGGTCAGAGAGTGGGTTTTGGGGTCAGGAAGGCAGTCAGGGAGTGAGGGTGTGATGTTGAAGGTGGGATTTTAGTTTGCAGTGGGTCGGGTAGTGGGCTGTGGGGGTCATGGTGGGTCAGGGAGTGGGGCGGCTAGCAGGGTAAGAGGCAGCCTGTTGAGCTGATGGAGTTTAAATGTTCTGTTTTATTTTTGCTTTAGTTAATACAATACAAAGCTGACCTGCACTCAAAGATATGTGTGAGACTCTGTCTTATTAGCTATGCACTTTTTACCCTGAGTGGAGTGACTCACGCATTCACTTGTGATTCATGCATTCACTCCTGACTCATGCATTCACTTGTGTCTCACGTACTCACTCCAGACTCACCCATTCACTCCTGACTCACCCACCAGATTCGAGGCACTCATCGAGCGCGAGTGGGTGCAGGCGGGTCACCCGTTCTCATCCCGCCACTCACGGTCGTGCTACTCGCCGCCCACTCACCGACACCGACACAACAGCCCCTCCTTCCTGCTGTTCCTCGACGCTGTTCATCAGATCCATGAACAGTTCGCTTGCAGCTTCGAGTTCAACCAGGACTTCCTGGTCCTGTTGTTTGAACATTCCTACAGCTCACAGTTCGGTGAGATGTACAGCTCAATATGATACTGTTGTTTGAACATTCCTACAGATCACAGTTCGGTGAGATGTACAGTTCAACATGAGACTGTTGTTTGAACATTCCTACAGCTCACGGTGAACAGCTTAACATAATACTGTTCCTACATTCAATTCAATGTTAGATGTGAAAAATAAAAAGTTGATGTGTAGCTTAACATTCGTATAGCTTAGTAACGAACTTGAGAATAATACTGTTTGTGCATGCAATTTGCAGTTTTATATTAGGAATAAGAATTTTTTTACATAATAATGCTTAATATAATAAAAATAAACTTTTATTTTGTTTGTGCGTAAAAATTTGCTGAGTAACCAAGCTGTTATCCTCTTGATTTTGCGTTTAAATAAATTGAAACGAATGCTGACGGGTGCGATTTTTTAAGAAGCACAATAAAAGTTGATCCCATTGGCGTACGCATTTCAAAATTTGTTGGTTAGAAGCGTGGAGCTTTGAAAACCTTGTAGCCAAGCAATTTAATAGCAAGAAATTTTTAAACTATATCTTACAACATCGTATATTGCAAGATTAGGATTAAAACGCGTGTAACCCACTACAAAATTACATTCCAAGTAACCTCCATCATAAAATTTTTGCGTGTTTTCCGTCACTTGACTTCATTGTTATTTATTTCTTCGAAACTTATGTTAGAAAACAATTATTATGAGAAATTATTATGATTGAATGATAACCGTTTTCAAAAGTCGTTACTCGAGTTTATTGTACATATTTTCTGTACATATTATAACAGGAACGTTCCTGGGCGACAACGAGTGTGAACGCGCGTCGCTGGGCGTGAAGCAACGTACGACGTCGCTCTGGTCGAAAACAGTATAACTTTTATACCCATTTCTCAAGACAGAATAACTTTTATACCCATTTCTCAGAACATTTTAATTTTTATACCCATTTCTGAAACCAGTTTAACTTTTATACCATTTCTTGAAAGAGCATAACTTTTATACCTATTTCTCATAAGAGCATAACTTTTATACCCATTTCTCCAAAGTGTATAATTTTTATACCCATTTCTCAAAAAATTATAATTTATGTACCCTAATCTCTCAACAATGAAATTTTTATACAAATTTCTCAAAACACTAAAATTATTTTTCTGCCCATTCCTCAAAACGGTATAATTTCTGTAGCCACTCATGTATTTATACTCGTGCAGGTGATCTGGACGAAAGTGTTGCTGCGGTGGGTGCTGGACGTGTCCCCCATAGAGGCCGCTGAGCGACTGATGACGTCACTCAGGGAGACGCACACGACGCTGCGTTCTGACGTCATCAAGTTACGTCGTCAGCTGCAGCTGCTCGAAGAACAGGCGATCAAGGAAGGAGTGCTGCTGCCTTCAACTGCTGACTAATATTGTGCTCTTTACTTATTGTACGAGCTCAGTAGCCTTGTACTATGTGGTGTACAAGCTAGGGCAATAGTGCTATGTGTTGTACTAGCTAGTACTATTGTACTATGTGTTGTACTAGCTAGTGCAAATGCACTACGTATTGTAATAGATAGTACTATTGTACAATATATTGTACCGGCTAGCACTACTGTACTATGTGTTTTACAAGCTAGTGCAATAGTGCTATGTATTGTACTAGCTAGTACTATTGTACTATGTGTTGTACCAGCTAGTATGTTGTACTACGTATTGTACTTGGTTGTGCAATTGCACTACGTATTGTACTAGCTACTACTATTGTACTAGCTACTACTATTGTACTAGCTACTACTATTGTACTATTTATTGTACTAGCGAGTACTGTTGTACTATGTATTGGACTAGCTACAACTATTGTACTATGTAATGTACTAGCTTGTATATAAATTCGCTTCGCAACTGTGCTGGCTTCAAAGTTACATTGTTTTTGAATCATTAAACGCGTAATCAATAGACTACGTGCATGCTGCTTTCGTAATTTGGTGATAATGATTTATGGAGAAGTTAATCATTTGGCGGGAAGTCCGAAGTTCATAATTTTACAAAATTAAATATTTGAATTAATTATGATACCAATTAAAGAAATTATCACATCTTCTCAACATCACCTGCTGTTGAAAAATAAAATGTATTGATTTATTATGATAAAAAGAGCTATCAATGCTTACTGCTTATATGTGTTGTAGTGATAATGTATATCGATTATAAAAACACATTAATAATTTTATGTATCTGAGATCTCTTATTTTGAGAACCAATGCGAAAATAAGTGGTCTCACGAAACTATTGAGGTTTCCATTCCGTCTTAGGCTATTTGTGATCATGTTTAACAAATTTGTTGTGTGTGTCAATTATTATATTTACTATTTATTTGATTATAAGTAAGGTGTTTTATTTTCAGAAATTATTATTGTTTCTTAAGCGTTTGTTTTTCATTCTGTCTCAATCAACATGTTTGTAGTACAAATATATGCAATTGTTGAATGTTTCCTTAGTTATTTGGATCCTAACAAGAGCGTTCGAATTTTTATTCTCAATTTATTCAATTATTCGGCGTCATTATTTAAGCATTTGCAGCACTCTTACGACTAGCGATTAATATTGATTTTGTTGATGAATAATCCAATTTTTCTAGTTCGGTACCGCAATAACAAAAATGGAACGCGTTTAAAGATTTGCCTGTCCTTTTTTGCATTCTGTCACTCTCTAACGTCAGCATTGTTGCAATTGTGAAGGTAAATCATCCAAACGTTTTCATTGCGTCGTCCATTTTTTTTTGCTGACTAATGGGTCTCCAGAGGCTTGTCCACACTCAGGAAAAAGTATAAATCATTATGTCCAAATAGTGACGCAATTTATCCGCGTAGCAAAGATACGCCTATTTTCCGTAACAAACTAAGTCAGAATGACCTATATCGGGGCAAAAACATTGATAGCTTTTTTGACAGTTTCTTGTTAGTTTATCAGAGGGTAGTGAGTCGTCACGATTATGAAAAAGCTATGGAAAAATATATGTTCAGATTTGAAATGCCTAGCTCCTTATCGAACCCGGTGAAAGTCTAGTAGCTATTTCAAACTATCGTCAGTCATGAAAAGATCCGGTCAAATGACACGATTTTAGATCTTCTGTGAACAAGGCACGAAAAGGTAAAGAATCAGCGACAGGCCACATCAGGCCTACACTTCAGCGCCGACATCACTATGTTATGTTATGAATGGTCCGATTATGGTTGAAAGTTCAACCATGGGTGCAATGTCAGCCTACGTTCACTCTCGATTTTACGGATGTTTGCTTGTCTTATATAAACTTAATGAGTTGATGTGCATCGTTGATGATGATGAACGTGGATGGTGGTGAACCAGACTGGCAATCAGGGGGTGAGTTATGTATGCACAAATGCGCATATCTTATTGTTTCTAAAGTTTCCCTTTTTAGTTTTGTTTGCATTTAGCTAATATTTTGAAACTGATCAAGTTCCCAGGCTTGACTGATCGCTACTTCACGTAGCGGCCGGTAATTGGTAGGTTTAGCTCGAAATGCCGTCAGTGATTGGCTGTCAGAGTAACGAATTCGCGTGACATCAAGTTTTCGTCGACGAGAAAATGCGCTCTATGTCACTCACTGCAGTGAGTACTGAGTTATATTTTTTTATATATTACGGCCCCGTGGCTGCTTCAGTCGCCACTGACCGTGTGATGCTAGATAAACGCTTTAGGCTTTAGGTCAAAGCGTTATCGTTATCCTAACAGTGGCACAGTCGCACAGATGAACCATGTTACTGTGGTTCATTTCTGAAAAATTACAGAAGTCATAAAACTTGCATTGACGTCGAAAATTTTTCCGTTGGCTTGGATTGCAAATGATTTTTGGTGGAATCACGCAAATTTTTAGTGGATTTACAGACACTTAGTTAACCTGCCGTAGTCCAAATCTGAAGTAGCTGTGAGATTTTTGGCAGTCTAACTGAGATATCCCTAAAAGTTAAGTAGAAATTCAAATGAAATTCCACACGCACATATATTCTCCAATTATACTTTCCTCTTGTGGGTGTCCACAGTTTTTTACTGCACCCTCTCAATCGTAAGTATAGATTGGCAGTTTCCAAATCTGAACGTGTGTTTAAAACATCTATAGGTTAAGCACGCATCAATAAAGTACACACTCCTTCATTGATCCTACGCAGTCCTGTAGGTTTATTGCCAGATTTTCAAGCGGGAATGTTGGTAGAAGGAAGGGTTGTGAGTAACAAATTTAGGAAAATTACGTTTCGTTCCGCTGTGTTCAGTGTTAGTGGCGCTGGCGCTTAGTCGTGTGAGGCGAGAACTCGGCTGGCTGTTAATGAGTGGATAAAGTTTAGTTTTAACTTCTGCAATTGTGCAATTACTGGGATATTTCACGTAGTGTAATACTTTGTAACACTAATTTTAAGGTTTGAATGAAAATAAAACCCTAAAATTTCCAGCATGGCTGGAAATTTTGTCGAATCTTCCTGAACAATTGCGCGTGTTAAGTGCTTGAAGCCACTTTATACAACTGGAAGTGGAAGTCTTGTATGTCTGTTTAAGATTAAGAAAGTAGTGTGACTTCAAAAACGATCACAAACGCGTGATCACAAACAATGCTCAACCAAGTGGGCCTATTCCTGGTGACAAACTGTCAAAGTTTGTTTAATTAATAGACAATACTGTTACCCTACTTACTAGTGTGACTGTGCAAAGTGCAGCAACGCTCTGAATGTTCTTTCTCACCTAACCCTCCATCATGGCTCCATGCTGACCCCGAAATCCTGATTCCTTCAATTGTCATCACTTAAGTACACGGTAAGTTTTCGTTAGAGGACTAGTCACAATCTCACAATGCTGTTATTGCTGTAAATGCTTTCTGACCCATTGCTATCAATCATGCTATGTACAATACGCTAAATACGTCCATAGTTACCAAGTAGTGAAGTATGGTACTACGTTTAATATCCTTCAGTTGCAGCCATGTTCACCATGATAAATAATTTTAACTCCGGTTGCTACGCGTACAATACAGGTAATAATTGTACTGTTGCTACCACTGACGATGCGGTAGATCCTCTCCGATTATTCTAATGCCTGTTACGTAAAAGTTTGCATTCCCATAGATTTTAATAATTAAAATTAGATTATAACAGGATGTGTTTTGCAGAGCACAAGACGGTCGATGCTCATACGAATAATATCTGAAGGAATTTCCTTGTCAGGCTAAGCAACTGTTTAAAATTTTCGTATTGTAATATTCTAGCTTCTTTGCATGATTATCGATTCCTCCATTAAGTGTTTTGCGTTTCGAAGAATTTACCAAATTAGTCACAATCGAAAAAACGTGTTTTTGTTCGGTATGTTCCCCCATCAAGTGACGGCAGCATCGTCGTACATTCGTGCTCGATGAATGAAAAATTCATATTGTATCGTTATATTCAGTCGAGGTTTCGTCTGATTTATTCATTAGAACCATTTAATTTATTGTATTATGTACAATGGTTGACTATATCATTTCTTTGTTCGCTATGAGCAGGTTGAGATTGAACCTAACATCGTGTAAGCGAAACTTAATTCAGTCACAATAATTTAATTTTCGCGTGGTATGTGGGAACGTTTAAGCCTTAATGTTACCTTACCTTAATAATGTTCAGGAGAAATCGATTAGTTTGCCTGAAAATTATTTTTAACGTGAGTGTAAAGAAAACAATTTTTACATGCATCTTATTAAATGATATGAATCTCCTGCCATCGAATAAAAGTAGTAAGAAGAAACTGCTTCTAAACTTAGCAACATTTTTATTTAAAAAGATCCCATCATAAACTTCTTCATGATTCTTATTCAAAAACATTTTCATACAGCTGCTTAAGCGTGTTCCATAAATCATGATAAATTTGCCTAAATTTTTTTTAAATAAATTGCGATGTAAATTGATAAGCTCTATTAGAAAATGTATATAAACTAGGGAACTAACTTGTAAATAAATTGAGGGAATTTTTTTTCACCAAAAGTTTTTTGGTGAAAATTTTTGCATTTTTCGCGTAATTTTTTTTAATTATTTGCACCAAAAGTTGAATACACTGATTGAAAAATTGAAATTTAATACTGAAACAACGTAAAGTTTAAAATGCTCTAATTAACTTCCGTAGGTACATATTTTGAACATGACTAACACTGGTTAAATTACCTGCAATCACTTATTTCCCCATGATAACATTATAATTATAAATAAATGCTACTGTAGTTATTTATTTTTCAATCTACCAGAAGTAGAAAAAAGGAACTGATGATAAATAAATTTCGTTTTCAACAAGATTGTCTCTTGCTTTACAATTAAATAATTCGCTTATGAGAAGAATGTTGAAGAAGAATGTCGAGAGGCTCAGCCAGGGGAGGTGTGGGAGTGGCAGCCTTCCCCAGTCTTGCACGACAGGGAGGGGAGGCAGGGAGAGGAGGGGGTGTGTGGGGGGATGAGATTTATTGCACTGTAGGAGGGGAGGCAGGGAGAGGAGGGGGTGTGTGGGGGGATGAGATTTATTGCACTGTAGGAGGATGTAATTAAGCTCTGTATGGCTCTTCACCGGCCGGTTAATGGTGAAGATAGCATGGAGATCCTTGTTCATTTCTTTATTTTTATCACTATCTAGAAATTTTTTCTTTCTTTGTTTCCGCGGTAGTCTCTTCCTTGTAATAAAGTTCATTTATTTAATAAATTATTAAAAACATGCGCGTTGTGAAAGCCCAACCGAGTTGTGTTGAAACCTTGCGCAATTTTAAGTTCATGAAAATTTAAAAATTAAAATTACAGTAAATCAAATTCTAGAGTCATGTTTTAAGGCGCTATAATTTAGAGGTCATTTAACTCTTGAGGTCCTGTGCTGCGTTCACGCACCGCGCCTCTAGCGCCGGAGCAGCAAGAATTACTTCGATATTTTACCCACTTGAAGCAGTTATGATGAATATTATTATCATAATTGCAGTCATAATAGTGATTAGTATGATCATTATTATGCTCATAATGGCAATCATCATGATGATTGTCAAGACCGTTATAATGTTCATAATTGCTATCATAATAATGATTAACATGATCAGTATTATGCTCATAATTGCAATCACCATGATGATTGTCAAGACCGTTATAATGTACATTTAATTGTTATCATAATAATGATTGACATGATCAATTATTATGCTCATAATTGCAATCATGGTGATGATTGTCAAGACCGTTTTAATATACATTTAATTGTTATCATAATAATGTTTGACATGATCATTATTATGCTCATAATTACAATCATCATAGTGATGATTGTCAAGACCGTTATAATGTTCATAATTCCAGTCAGAATAATGATTGGTATGACCAGTATTACGCTCTTTAGTGCAATTGTTCAATAATGAATGAGAATGATTATTATTTTACTCAAATACAATCATGATAATGATTGTCATGCCGCTATTGTGTTCATCAGTCCAATCATAGTGATGATTGGCATGAACATCATCATTCTTACAACTACAATTAATAATAATGATTGTCATGATCGCTCATATCATACTCGTTGAAACTGGACGTATGACATCTGTTAAACTTTCAATCATTGATTAGTATTCAATGATTTATTTAATGGCTGGCGCCTTGAACAGAAATGATTAAAACGACGTAATTATCGTTTAATCGATGATACTTATACATTTATTTAAAATTGTGATATCACAGACGGTAAGAAGGAATATTTTATAGTCTATAACTTGAATAATAGTATTTAATAAAAAAATCTTGCCCTCGGACGATACGGAAACAATTCACTGAATATGTTCGGCATCATTAATTCCGACATTTGAAGGAGTGTTATTTAAAATTTTTTATGCCCGCGGCGATAGGAAAGACTGCACTAGCATCGTACTAGCATCGCACTAGCGTTCTTCATCCTCAAGGCTGGGGACGTCTTATCATTCCACTAGCATTCTATACTGTTACTAGACTGACTAAGTAAAATTCTACTATCGCTAAAGAGCATCATCACTAAAGTCCATCTCTCCAAAGGTTGAACTCGTTCACTACAATTCTCTAGTTGAATAGTTAACCCCTACATTTTTATACATAGGCTAGTTCATTTTGTATCTTTAACAATAGCATGGAAGTTGTAGAGGTAAAATAGAGCTAAGCGTAAAATGAACGAGTATGTATTGTATTGGCGCTATCATCTAATACGTGTTCAATCTTTTGTGTACGGGTATAGATCTTATAAAAAGATTTATACAATGCACACAGAAATAAGTGTTTGTGTGTTCTCTGTGTACCGTTGTGTGAACGCAGCCGCCTCCGCTTACCGTTTCCAGCCGCGGCTCCCACATTCGACCGCAGGGGCTCATCTCAACCGGCTGTTGGTGCCGGATACAACCGAGCAGAATATCCGTGCGTGTACGGCTCGTCGGGACTGCTGTGCATCACCGAGCAGAATATCCGTGCGTGTACGGCTCGTCGTGAGTGCTGTGCATCACCGAGCAGAATATCCGTGCGTGTACGGCTCGTCAGGGAGTGCTGTGCATCACCGAGCAGAATATCCGTGCGTGTACGGCTCGTCGGGAGTGCTGTGCATCACCGAGCAGAATATCCGTGCGTGTACGGCGCGTCGGGAGTGCTGTGCATCACCGAGCAGAATATCCGTGCGTGTTCATTGCTGAATGCCACTCATGCTGGATAATATTCTGCATAAAAGTGTTATCCGTTATGCCTAAATTGAGCACACATTATCAGGAAAATGATATTAGTTTTCTGATGAAATCGAAGTGATATTCTGATGAAAATCAAATAGATTCTAATGAAAGCTAAATAGAATTTTGATGAAGGCTATATATTCTGATGGAAAATAAATAGAATTCTTGATGAATCTGTATCGACACACCCTCGTAAGCAGTTGCTCAGTAAACACGTTGCTTTAAACTTTCTTCACCATAAAAGAGAATTCATAAATAATCCTTTATAGGGATTTCCCACCAATCCTTGCCTGGTGGATTATTCAAAAATCCGTGTCACTTGAATTTCCCACCAATCCTTGCCTGGTGTATTTCCCACCAATCCTTGCCTGGTGTATTTCCCACCAATCCTTGCCTGGTGGATTCCCCACCAATCCTTGCCTGGTGTATTTCCCACCAATCCTTGCCTGGTGGATTCCCCACCAATCCTTGCCTGGTGTATTTCCCACCAATCCTTGCCTGGTGGATTTCCCACCAATCCTTGCCTGGTGTATTTCCCACCAATCCTTGCCTGGTGGATTCCCCACCAATCCTTGCCTGGTGGATTTCCCACCAATCCTTGCCTGGTGGATTTCCCACCAATCCTTGCCTGGTGTATTTCCCACCAATCCTTGCCTGGTGTATTTCCCACCAATCCTTGCCTGGTGTATTTCCCACCAATCCTTGCCTGGTGTATTTCCCACCAATCCTTGCCTGGTGTATTTCCCACCAATCCTTGCCTGGTGGATTCCCCACCAATCCTTGCCTGGTGTATTTCCCACCAATCCTTGCCTGGTGGATTTCCCACCAATCCTTGCCTGGTGTATTTCCCACCAATCCTTGCCTGGTGGATTCCCCACCAATCCTTGCCTCTGTCTCTTATACACATCTAGATGTGTATAAGAGACAGTGTAAGAAGTCTATAAATGAGCACAAAACAAAGATTAAAATATGACAAGAAACAACAGTCGCATGCTGTAGCAGAAAATTCAGTCTAAAGGCGATGACGAAACACCGGCACCGATGAAATCAATGTAAAAGATGGTGGTAGATGGGAATACTTCTCACGGAAAATCTCATTCAAAAGCTATAAATTATACATAATTTTGGTAATTGTGAATCAAGTGTTTGTGAAATACCCAAGTCTTTATCAACAATACGTGGAAGTCGTTATTTTACAGGTGCTTCGTAATATATTATTTTATATCTCATCTTATTTTAAAATGGCTTCTAACTAGATCATATTTTGCATTGTTATTAATCAAATACCTTTATACAAAAAAAGAATATTACTATATGAATAATTTTCAAATTGATTCACCATCAGTACGAATTTTCTCTTCATTTTCACGCACAATAGAGCCTATACTCAGAAAATGAACAGGTCAAATTGTCCAAATATTGACGCACTTTCTTACCCACAGCACGAGCAGAGAGCGCACGTAGCACTGATAGGTCCAGTTACTTGATGGATCAGAATGACCCTCACAATATGCATCAGTATTTGGACAAGTCTCACTCATTTAACTGAGTGTGAGTTGTTTCAAAGTAGCACAAAAGACGCAGTCGACTGTATTAAAGATAAATGTAGCTGCAGCGCGTCGTTGTCAAGTTATATGTATTTATTATGTATTCTGTGTTAAATTATACTCATGATGCAAGTCTCATTGTAATGCAAGGCAAGTTCCACTCACCGAGAGTGCAGTCATGGGGCCCATTGTGTGGGGGAGCTGAGGGGCGCTGAGGGCCTCATGTGGGTCGCCGGCAGTTGGTTGTGGGGCCATGGGGCTGGAAAAGGGCTTTCTTAAAATCACTAAAAAACTATCCTTTGTTGATATCCCTGTGAACTTAATCATAATAATAATTATAATTAATTAATGTCATTAAATTATCAGTGAATATTGCGATGAGCTTCCTTTGATTGAAGAACATGATAATTTACTCCATCGAAACGTGGACATTAAATGTTAATAATAAAATATATAGAAAGAGGTCATCGATTTAATTCATGTTGGCTTGTCGCCGATTCTCAACTACCCGCGGCGGCACCTTACCGATTTTTCACCACTACTTGCGGGTCTCGAACCCCCAACTCGCTGCCTCATTCTTAGTCATCGTAACCTAGGTCATACCGAGCTTGATGCAACACCCGAAGCTAACTAAAGAATTTATTGTTCAATACATTTATTTTTTCAGGATAATTTCAACCATGTTGGTGTTATTAAATAAATTGTTTTTATGTACCATATTATGCGTTTCAAATTTTGCCTTCGTCTTGTCTTCTCAATCGCAAATCGATGTCACTGAGGTGAGACATTTTTTAGTTAGTAACACATTTAAAATATTTGGAACCTAAAATGCCTTGCATCTTAATCCTAACATCATCGCTAGGCAAAAATTATTTTAATTTCAAAATTAATCGAAATTCTTAGAAGCATTGAGAGAATACGTAAACTTAAATTTTACTTGGATAGTTACCTATGATAGTTGCTATCAAATGAAAACCAAACATTTGAACCAATACTCCAATTTAAACTGATTATCTTCATTAATAGTAGGTGGAAAACTTCATTAATAGTTGATATTAGATTCTAGTAGACATTTAGTTATTACGTTAATCAATGAAATTGAATAAACTTGCTACAGGTGCTAACAAGATGCCTGGGCCGTGCTACGCTCGTCAGATGGCAACAGCAGCTGGTGGCTGCAAGCAGGTTCTGTGGAGGCGATTCTCTTCCTGTCAACCCTATCATTATTCCACCAGCTGCGTCAGGTGGTGCAAACGGCGCACCAACTGCGCTAGGTGGTGCAAACGGCGCACTAACTGCGTCAGGTGGTGCAAACGGCGCACCAACTGCGCCAGGTAGTGGCAGTGGCTCACCAACTGCCACTGATGGCCTCATCTCTCAGGTGATGCAGTTACAGGCAATCTTCTGCTTAATCCACATTGAATTTTTGAAATATTTTCGCTTGTTACGCTTAATTATGCATGTTTTCAAGTAATGGTTGTGTGATATGCAAATAAGTGGCACAAATAACAGCTATCATGTAACTTACATAAATTGATCGGGGAAAATTATAGCGATTAACGTTTTTCTTCAATCCCCATCATCCTTTAGCAGTCGACGAACGGATCCTTTACTCCTCCTACATTCCTCGGCAATCCCCAGTCGTTCAACCCATCAACTCATCCATACCTCCTACAGAAAATAACCTACCCGTACTACACGACGTCTTCCTTCCCCTACTACAAATACTTTTTCGTCAATACCCCACAATACTCCACTAAAGTTACGGCGCCCTCAACCCAGTACCCCAGCAACCAAGCCTTCCAGAACCGCCCCACAGGCGCACACTCGTTCCTGGCTGGGCAATCTTCTGGGCTGGTACAGTCACCTGGACTATTTCAGTCGTCTGGGTTGGTGCAGTCACCCGGACTGGTGCAGTCACCTGGGCTGGTACAGTCACCTGGAACCTGGACTATTTCAGTCGTCTGGGTTGGTGCAGTCGCCTGGGCTGGTGCAGTCACCTGGACTTTTCCAGTCGTCTGGGTTGGTACAGTCACCTGGACTGTTGCAGTCGTCTGGGTTGGTGCAGAAGCCTTGGCTGGTGCAATACTACCCCACGCAGAAGCCATATGACAATAAGTATTACTACCAGCCTCTGGTCCCGCATTATCAAGCTGCTTCTTCCTCTGTCTCGGAAATACAACAACCAATAACGGTCAGTTTAATTCGTTCACAATTTTTAAAATTTCTAGAGCTCTTTATAAGGCTTTATTTTGACTACTGCATTTTCTTGCGTGGTCACTGATGAGTATCAGATTTCTGGTCATGGGATTCAGCGAGTCGGTAGTTTAGATTTAAAATTTATTAACCAATCCATCTAATTGAAATTAATTATTCAACACTAAAATGTATCATGTCGGCATTGAATGAGAACGTTTAGGTTGTTTTTAGTTAATCAGCAGCGCGTATCATTTTCTTCATTCTTATCATATCTCTGCCACATGGTTTCATAATATTGTTAATCATTCATTATTGTGTTAATCATTCAAATTTTTTTGACTCGCAGCACGACCAGACGTTCCGGGACCCGAGCCTCAGGTACGAGCAGACCGAAGAGTACCGACGTCTGCAGCAGGCGGTACAGCAGGCGACCAGCCAGCCTGCAGCTCTGCAGGAGTTTGCCAGCAGAACTCAGTCTTTGGGAATTGGTCGTCCGAGTTCTAAAACCGTGAGTAATCGTTACAGAAAAATTATATTTAACAAAAAATTATTAACGAAATTTATTAATTATATTAAATTATTATTATTAAATTAACGAATAGTTGAATGGACGCTTGCCACTTCTCCCACACGGGAAGTAAATTGAATATTTTATGGTTAGAGTTCTGATAATTGGAAGCGAATAAAGCGAGAGACGAGAAATAAGAATCTCTTTCATATGATTGATAAAATTTACTATTGTAACTGAAATTAGTTAGGATTCGCAGACCGATCACCCAGTTTTTGAAACAATTAAAATTACAGGAATATTAGCAACGATCTCTCAACGTGTTAGTAGGTGTAGATTATTTAGTAGGTGATTATAAGAGTCACAACACATGATTACTGCGCATAAATAACTGCGACTAATTATACTACTGGTTTCGCGTAAAATGGTGGCTGGATTCTGGCTTGGCCGGTAACACCTTTAAGCCATTATCACGGTGAGTTGTGGCGGTTGGATTCGAATGTTGTAGCTGCCGCACTACCGTGCCCGTGTACTAGCTCATTTCAACTTTACTCTAGTTTCTCTCTAATTTCTAAAGTTGATTTTTAAAATCTTCCTAGAAACGGGCAGCGGACCCGTTCACCGACGACCAGATTGCGGCGGAAGCGAAGTTCCGGCGCTGGGAGACGTCCGCTGAGGCGGAAAAGTACGCACGCGAGAGGCACCTTTTGGCCGCGACCGCCAGCGCGGCTGAGAAGCTGGGCAACATGACCTGTGTCTTGAAGGCAATGCAGATGGTGAGTGCGTGGGTTAATGGTGATAAATTTGTGATTCAAGTAGCCATGATGTTCATGGCTATTATGATTATGATGTTCTATGCTCAACTACTATGTTCATGTTCTATGTTCATGGCTACTATAGAATAGAATAGAAGTGTCGGCGTTGAAGAAATAGGCCACAATATGATTATGATGTTATGATATTCAAGTTAGTAGTTGAATTATAAGGAAAATTCCACGACGCCTCGATGCACACCTACGCATCCCATATATGATACGTGTTCCACTCATCAGTTGACTTACGAGACGCGTACACTAATTGCCGGTTCCAATACCACGTCATACCAAGCGAGTAAAAATGTCAATGTGACTTTGTAGATTTGAGTCCATGCATCAAACTTTAAACTTTACGTCAGCTAAAAATATTGTTGCAGTTAACGGACGACCTGGAGCCGAACCACGCTTTCATCACCTCCTCCTTGGTGGAACTCCCCGTCAGCAACGACCTCTTCGAGGACCTCAAGGAAAGCCAGGTCTACTGCAGGAAATTTTCCAAGTGTCTTCCCGAGAGGAAAAAGATCAACAGTATTGAGATGGGCCTCAATCTCAGCTCTGCTTTTGAATTCTTCAAATGTTTCGGCAAAGAAAAAGTGCGTGCGTGTCTGAAGGCAGACAGCGTCGCTATGGCAGAGATGCTCAACAGAAGCACAGCCCAGCACGTTGACACAGGCAACTTTATTCTACGTAAGTCGAAGCTTGACCAGACTTTGCAGGACGTTTCCCAGCTGCTGAACGGTGTTGACAGTTCCTTTGTAGACTTGGTACTTCTCTAGAAAAATGTTATCGCTGCCACGTAAGCCGGAGAAAATTGTAATGATTGTTCTTGCGATAACTACCAACGTTGCCTTGAACGCGAATACATCCGACGTCCAGTTTACGCTGCCACGTTACCTGGATGATTGTTCTTGCGTACAATTGTAATGATTGTTCTTGCAATGATTACCGACGCGAATAGTGGAGTCACTACAATAATATTTTAATTGAAGTTCCCAGGGATTGTTTCTAAGTTTTATTAATAATTTTATTTAACTTTAATTTAACGCCTATAATTATTTATTAAATATAAGTTTAAAGTCAAAATATTCTTTTGGTAATCCCTTTAAGAATAGCGGTTTCAGCGTTTATTAGGCCGTAGGCCTGTCGCCGATTCTTAAAATCTCAGAACATTCACAGCATTTTGCGGTCTCGAACTCGCAACGCACTACTACAATTCTGCTGTGCTTAACCGCCCGGCCTCCTCGCTGATTATGACCAGAAACTGGCGCACAGAGCTGGGATCGAACCCGCACCTCTTTGCTCCAATCTTTGTTTTCTGAACTTTAACCACTGGGCCACCCTGCCCCTCCACTGGGCCACCCTGCCCCTCCACTGGGCCACCCTTCCCCTCCACTGGGCCACCCTGCCCAGAACCCCCACCCCTGCAGAACATAAGTTTTCAGTCGCCTTGCACTTTCGAATTTCCGTCTCTTTGTAACCTGAACATCATCCTCTTAAGCACGAGACAACAGCACACATTATTATGGGAAAAAAGATTATTATGGGGAAAAAGTATATTTTTTTACCCATTTCTCAAAACAGTATAACTTTTATACCCATTTCTCAAGACAGAATAATTTTTATACCCATGTATGGAAACGGTGAAATTTTTATACAAATTTCGTGAAACGGTAAAATTATTTTTACGCTTATTTCTCACAACAATATAATTTCTTTAGCCACTTCTGATGTATTTATACTCGTGCAGGTGATCTGGACGAAGGTGTTGCTGCGCTGGGTGCTGGACGTGTCCCCCATAGAGGCCGCTGAGCGACTGATGACGTCACTCAGGGAGACGCACACGACGCTGCGTTCTGACGTCATCAAGTTACGTCGTCAGCTGCAGCTGCTCGAAGAACAGGCGATCAAGGAAGGAGTGCTGCTGCCTTCAACTGCTGACTAATATTGTGCTCTTTACTTATTGTACGAGCTCAGTAGCCTTGTACTATGTGGTGTACAAGCTAGGGCAATAGTGCTATGTGTTGTACTAGCTAGTACTATTGTACTATGTGTTGTACTAGCTAGTGCAAATGCACTACGTATTGTAATAGATAGTACTATTGTACAATATATTGTACCGGCTAGCACTACTGTACTATGTGTTTTACAAGCTAGTGCAATAGTGCTATGTATTGTACTAGCTAGTACTATTGTACTATGTGTTGTACCAGCTAGTATGTTGTACTACGTATTGTACTTGCTAGTGCAATTGCACTACGTATTGTACTAGCTACTACTATTGTACTAGCTACTACTATTGTACTAGCTACTACTATTGTACTATTTATTGTACTAGCGAGTACTGTTGTACTATGTATTGGACTAGCTACAACTATTGTACTATGTAATGTACTAGCTTGTATATAAATTCGCTTCGCAACTGTGCTGGCTTCAAAGTTACATTGTTTTTGAATCATTAAACGCGTAATCAATAGACTACGTGCATGCTGCTTTCGTAATTTGGTGATAATGATTTATGGAGAAGTTAATCATTTGGCGGGAAGTCCGAAGTTCATAATTTTACAAAATTAAATATTTGAATTNTTTTTTTTTTTTTTTTTTTTGCTGACTAATGGGTCTCCAGAGGCTTGTCCACACTCAGGAAAAAGTATAAATCATTATGTCCGAATAGTGACACAATTCGTCCGCGTAGCAAAGATACGCCCATCTTCCGTAACAAACTAAGTCATAGTGACCTATATCGGGACAAAAACATTGATAGCTTTTTGGACAGTCTCTTGTTAGTTTGTCTGAGGGTAGTGATTGGCCGGTAATTGGTGGGTTTAAGCTTGAAAAGCCGTCAGTGATTCGCAGTCAGAGTAACGAATTCGCAATTATTTTTGATATTACGGCCCCTTGGCTGCTTCAGTCGTGCGACTGACCGTGTGATTCTGGATAAACGCTTTAGGCTTTAGGTCAAAGCGTTACCCTAACAGTGGCACAGATGAACCATATTAAATGAAATGAAATATATTTTCAAATGAAACGATATTAGATCTTCTGTGAACAAAGCACGAAAAGGTAAAGAATCGGCGACAGGCCACATCAGGCCTACACTGCAGCGCCGAGATCACTATGTTATGTTATATTACTATGGTTCATTTTTAGCGCATTTTCTCATTTTTGGAAAAAAT